TGATTTAATCTACAATTAATCAATTGTATTTTCATACTACTATTACAGATCAATATCTATTCACGTTCCAGATACGTGGCAAGGTGTTCACAATTATATATTTTTATTGATCAGAAGGTAAGTTGTAATAAAACCAAGATGTTATTTCCCACCTGTTGTGTTTATTCGAGTTATTTATAAATTAGAATAGCAGGACTCATATAGCACAAGATTGTTTACCTAAATAGTGCATACATATATAAAAAATACATCACAAGTCTACGTTTGAGAATACAGCATTTTGCTATTATCAGCTTTGACAGTTGCTAGGTACATATACTATTTCAAGTCAGGATGACTTGAATTTCCAGCTAAGTTTTGGCCTAAAAAAATGCTCACATCTCAATATTGACCATATAATACAAATGTACAGCTCCAAGGAGTGCTGGTGGCTCATAGGCCACTCTCCGCTGCGACAACCACAGAGGCTCAATCTGAGGCACGCTTGTTTCTCCCCATCAGATGCGCGAGCCACCTCCAGTGAGATGGCGTGACAACTGCGTCGACGGCTTTGGCACTGCTTGGCAGCACCACCTCGCACCAGATGCGACATCAGTAACGCACAGGTGGTGTTCGACGGATTGCCAATGAGGCGATGAGGTAAACATCCATGAATCGATGCTTATCTGAGCTGTGTTTGAGACCTTTTTTTTGCAGTACTGCTTCTAGCCGGTCCTCTTTGATATCCACTGTGATGCTTGTGCGTGTGTCATGAATTGTTAATTTGAAGATGTCTAAACCAAACTAATCTCGCAAAGCAGAAACATAAGCTTTGAGGACGAGCAGTCTTTAAGTTATTGTTGACTTTTCATTCCTAATACATTGTTTTAGAATTAGAATGACATGGAAATATATATTTGCTTTATATGTTTTGTTACCAAGCCTAGCTGTTTGTGAAATTCTTTTGCATGCACATAGCCTCTTACCATTGCTATGAGAATCAGATTCAACTTTTCCATCTACTATACCTTGATGACTGCTTGTCTACAATTTGTGAAATTAAGATGAAATTCCTATTTGTTTAATATTATTTGTTTGCAGGCTCAGCTGCTGTAAAATTCTTTTATATACACAAAGCCCAGATGTTCAGGAGATAGTCGTATGGTGTAGGAGCCACTACACGCAGTAGTTGTATTCCTTCAATTAGTGGGTACTTCCACCACGATCGTGCATTAGTAATTTCTTGTAGTACTGCATGTATATATAGCTTCAGTCAATGAGCACAATGTAGTACTATTGAGCAGTGCCATGTAGTAAATTGTATGGCTTCAGTCAAGGACCTGTATCAGTAATTCAGTATGCTATGGAATGGATGCTTATGTTGCCTGCGACACAACCATGACACAAGCATTTATTAAAATGGCCCATCCACAGGACAGCGCGGCAACGCCGCGCCTCTTTCTAGTCACAATAGTTAGGCCTGAGTGGTACAAGTTGCTATTCCTATTGGGCCTGACATTGTAGGTTTTGGTGTTAGTTTGCCTGCAGTTGCTGTGGGCCAAACCCTACTACCGTAACACCTTCTAAGCTAGAGATGGTGTTTGTTCGCCTAGATGTACCTTGGTCGGCTTACCATGGTTTTTTTAGATGAAAGAAGAATTATATTATATAATAACTGGGTACATCAACACGTTACAAGCACTCTGGAGTACACTACATATATCCAGAAACTGATATTTATCTAAATTGTACCCACGCTATGAATAGATCCAAATCTCAAAACCAAACATGTATGACGTTTTGTATGGATGATCGCACAGGTAAACACTCGGCAAAAAGCCTGAGAACAGATGCCCAATGAACGACGGCCAACATTCCTGCAGGCGGAGTTGAGAAACTTCTTTTTTTTTGTCTTCCTTCTTCTTCTTGCTGCCACTGAAGAATGCGGAAGATTGATCTGAAATTTTTTCTCTCTAGTCCTTCATCGTGGCCAGATCTAACCACGACGAAACGAAGAAGAGACCAGAGAAAATTATTCCATGACGGCGACATCATCTCTGTCTTGATGTCACCGTCCGGAAATAAAGGTCTCTATGTCGCCATGCCGGTGAAGTGCTGACGCCGTACTTGTCACCCTCATCTTCAACATAGCCGCCATGGAGAAAACGATTCCAACCTTCTCCTTCACCGTCGCCGGAGAGGAGGAGAAGAAGATAAATCTCCAATACCAAAAAATTTGGTATGGAGAGACCCTAACCCTAAAAACTCGATCTACTAGAAAATTTATTAAAAACGATGGATCCCTACTCCCTCTGGCCTCCGGCGAGATGCCAGAGGGAGAGGAAGGGGAACCAGCAGTGGTGGAAGGCGGGAGCTGCAGCGTCGGCGGCGCTGCTTAGGTCACGCGAGTCATGCGAGGACTAGCGGTCATATAACCGAGTGGCCACGGCTCACCATGGTTGTCTGTTAGGTGTAGTTGCAGCCCAAGATAGATAGAGAACTCCCTTTCCGTTACAAATGCATGCATGTAATATAGTAGTAATATAAGGGACATGTATATAGGAATTGAACCCCTCTATGTGTACATGCATGCATAATGATAAGTCATTTTATGTTTTCTAGATATATAGTTTTTGTTATGCATATATATTTTGATATCTCTAGACACGTAATAAAGGTTGTGGATGTAGATGACCTATAAATTGGAACAAAGAAAAAAATATATGGAATGGAAGAACTATCGTTATCACTGCACTGGTAGTGACGACCATGGACTGCAAATTCGTACGTATATGGAACGGCCGGCGTACACGTACGTGGATCGTGATGGGGGTGAGGGGCCCTCCGTCCCCGGGCGGCCACCTGCCGCGCAAGCCAACAAAACCCTAGGGTTCACGGGCTGCGCGTACCTACAAAATAAACGTCCGCCTCGCCTCGCCTTTCCGCATGCTGGCGACGATTAGTCTTACAGGCAGGAGAACTTGCTTGCTTTGTATCGGCATCCATCCGCATCCGCCCATCATTATTTCTGTCTATCTATACCAGGCCGTGGCCGGCCCGCAGTCGATTTCGATCGTCAACATGGGTATCATGCATGCATGCAGCCAACTTTCATGTATCATATCACTTTCTCTCCATCGCAAGCTGTCACTTGCTTTTTTCTTTCATGTAGAAACAAGAACGCGTACGTGTACCCTCCTCCTGCTGCAAGTCCCTACCTAGCTAGCTTTTGGCTACATCACATCGATATATTTATTATTCACTGCATATATATTGGCAAGTTTAATCGTTTGTATATATACTAAGATATTATATGGTTATATATTCCGCACCGATGCGAAGAAAGATCCTTTATTTAATTTAGTGGATGGAAAAGGAAGATCCTTTAAAATATACTCCTACTCCGATCATCCATTTCAAAATGTCAAAATTACTGTTTCTAGTCATATTTTCTCTAACTTTAGTCATATATATATATATATATATATATATATATATATATATATATATATATATATATATATAAAATACCTTCACAGCTATATATAATACATCTAAAAAAAATATATAGTAACTCATGGTACTCCCTCTGTTCCAAAATAAGTGTCGTTCTCGCTTCCCGATGAGTTAATGTTTTTATCAATGATCAAATATATATACAAGAATATTTTAATATATATTTATAGTAAATAGTTAGTATCATTAGATAGATCATTTAATCTATTTTCATCATAAACTTATTTGGAGAACCTAGCCAAACTTTAAAAGGTTTGACGGGTACTATCTGGAGAACCTAGTCATTAGATACCATAGCAACACTTATTTAGAACTGAGGGAGTGCATTATTATTATTATATATATAGGCTCAGATCTGACAAAATAACAGAAATTCGACTTATGACACGTACTTACTCATACATATACACATTTTGGAGCTGAGCAGTAGCATGTTGCTAGATGGGAGAAGAGAATGCATGCATGCAAAAAATATCTATCTGCTACAAAGCTAGGGGCCACCTGCGTGCCCTGCATCTCAGCGCTCGGCACACCGCACATCGAGGTCCATGCATGCACGTGTCAGCATACATATACGCTGTCTCGGTCTCGCTCTCGGTGGCATGCATGATTTCTCTTCAAGTCTTCATGCATGCAAGGCCAAGGCCAAGCCGCAGCAGCTTGCATCTGTATGCAAGTGTATGCGTGCTGTGCTGATATATATATATATGCATCGATCGATCGCAATATCGATCTACTATATTGCATGTGCAGTTGTTGTTACATACGTTGCATCGATCGACCAGGTGTATTCTTATTCATTTACACAACCCTGCGTGCATGCATCATGCATGTCATTTGTGAACATAATGCTTGCACATATATGGATTGGTAAACAACTAGTATTGCATTTGTTAAGATTGATGAAATCATATAGGATTATGAGTTAATTATTTGTGCTGGGACAAAATATCTACTATCTGGTGCATAGTGCATACGTACGACGAGGACGAATCTTGCTCATATATTCATCCATCGCAGGTAATTCAGGTATACATCAGGCCAACAACTACTAACATTCATCCATCAGATCACACAGATAATTACCACACTGTAATAATGGTATTTATATTCATAGATGGAGATCATCGTCGTCATGTCGGGTCCCGCCAGGCCTCTCGACACGATCGATCATGGATCCATCCAACACAAACACACGACGACGCGACGATGGACATGTTGCATATGCATGCATGCATGCATGATAGCAGATTCGTGAAGAAACACACCCAAAGCAAAAGCAAAACAAAACAAATTAAAGCGACGAACGAAGAACAGTGCTGTGTGTACTAGTAGCTTGTACTTGTTGCTGAGAAATCATGATTATTTAGCCCGGCCTGGTGCAGGCGGGCGTGTGCATGCATGGATCAACGACGACGGGGGAATCCAAAGGAGACGACGATAGATGGAGAGAGGCATGCATGCTCCTCATGCATGCATGGCATGGCGAGGATCGATCGATCAGATCAGGAGCACTGGAAGCCCGAGGGGACGCGCCTGCCGCAGTAGTTAACGAGGAGGCTGAGGTTGATGGGCAGGTTGAGGTTGATGCCCAGGACGTTGGCACGCAGGGCGGTGCAGAGGCACACCGCCGCCTCCAGGTCCGCCAGCCCCTGGATCAGCGTGCAGCACGGCGTCCTGGGCGGCGTCCCCAGGTTGACGTTGATCAGCCCGTTGAGCACGTTGGCGCACACGCCCAGCTTCAGCGCGTCCACGGGGCAACGACCGCTCGTCCCGCCGCCGCCTCCTCCGCTGCCGCCCCCACCACTGCCACCTCCGCCGCTGCCCCCACCGCTCCCTCCGCCGCTGCCCCCGCCGCTGCCCCCACCGCTGCCCCCACCGCTCCCTCCGCCGCTGCCCCCACCGCTGCCCCCACCGCTCCCACCACCACCAGATCCACCACCCCCGCCTCCACCACCACCTCCCCCGCCACCGCCGCCTGGACTAGGGCAGGAGCCGCATGCGTCGGCGAAACCGAACAAGAGGAGGTTCAGGGTCAGCAGCGTGGCCACCACGGCCACTTCCTTCGCCATGGCTAGCTAGCTAGCTACCACGTAGGAGTACTCCTACGCAGCTAGCACAGCAGTAGCTAGGTTGCTAGCGTATAGCTGCAGATCAGAGACTGCAGGTCGCTAGTGCTTTGGCTGCTGCCTGGAACTGGAACTGTGGCACTGCAACTTGTGATCGGATCGCAGCTTCGCAGCTTGCTGGGGGTGCTATTTATAGCCGGCCGAGAGCACAGCACAGGTCATAATAATAATAATAATAATAATAATAAGCCCTAGTAGTAATTAATAACTGATGATGATATACTACTGCATACTACCACTAATTATAGCTAGCTAGGCGACGACGTGCATGTGGGGGGTACAACAGATGAGATGAGCGAGATGTATCGACGAGCTGAGCTGCCTAGAATGAACTAGCTAGGAGTAGTACGTACGTATACATGCAGTAGCTGACTGTATAGTAGTACTACTGTATGTAGAATAGATGGGCATGCATGCATGCATTGTGCATCATGCTCATAGCTAGTCTGCTGAATGAATGATAGAAATTAAGCTAGGCGGTGAGTAGCCTACTAGCTAGCTACGACTTAGTGCGTGGTGTCGGCACGGCGTGACCTACAACATCCTAGAAAGGTGAAAAGCTAGCTGGCACGAGGAAGAAGACAATGGGGGTGGGCTTTGGAAGCTTTGCGTTTGTGTCCCGGCCGGGTGTGTCACGGTATAGTGCTTTGGAAAGACGGGCGTACTGCATGCTAATTTGCAGTTGCCATGGCGACAAGCAAGCTTGTAGTAGTGGTACTGTAAAGCATATATGCAGGAGTAGCTAAGCTTTCATTTCAATCAGCCAACATACTCCAGCAAGAAGAGCAGCTCCGATCTATCCTCACCTCTACAGTCTGTGTCGTCTGTGATCGATCAACTTTCCAAATGGCCTGGTGGCATGTTTTACCAGCAGTACGTAGGTGCTGGTGCAGGTAGCAGCTCCCTGAACTGTATGTACTACTAAATTGCATTGCATGGTGGGGTGTGTCATGCCAATAACCTGCTGGATGGTGAGCTATCGTGTCAGCATATCTCGATCGCGAGCGAGCAGAGCATGCATGCATGCTTATGCTCCGGTCCGATGGATCACTCATCACTGTTCAGTCAGTATTTCGAGATGGAGATATATGGAGTCAGTAAAACAAAAGTAAGAAGAAGATACTCCTAGATAATTAAATATGAGACACGTAGCTATTACTGTAGAGGACTTTCCTTCGCACTGCTGCAGTGCTGTGCTGCGGCGCCTACACGTATGACAATTGCCAAGTGAACGTGGTGGATAGGTGCCTGCGTGCTTGCATGCCGTGCGCACACGACTGACCTGACCCATGCATGCATATACGAAGACGATGATCGGTGCGGTGCTTCTATATTATACGGAGTATGCACGTACGTAGAATTGCAGTTGCAGACATACGTATATACTATAGGAGAAGTAGATAGAAAACACTGATGTGCAGACGAGATCGACACCACTGAACAAGTGCATGCAGTAGTGCAGACGAGAGACAGGGAGATGCATACATGTTCGTCCACCGCGCGCACATCCGGCCGATGGAGATGGATCCACTGCACATGCGTGCACGTCGCGCCGCCGTTCAGTCGTCCGGCCGCGCAGTATGGCCGCGCAGTATTTGCAGACGACGCGACGGATCCATGCATATCCCATCGAGCGGGGAGACACCGTACCAGCAGCAGCAGGGCCGGCCAGCTGCATGCAGATGGGGAGGGAGACTACTGCTCTACCACGCTGCGTCGTGCCATGCATATGATATGCATATCTGTGTTCCGTTACGTTACGTTCCGTTCCTGGCCTGGCCTGGGGAATCCGCGCGTTCCGTTCATATCGACCCGGAGTATACTCCCATGCATCCATCGGTACGGTGAGCATGCACGCACGCACTAGCTATAGCTACAGTGTAAACCCTAGCTATTCTAGCCATGTTCGGCTTGCTAAATCTTGGCTGAAAAACACTGTTCTAGCTGAAATGTTGTGAAAGAAAAACACTGTTCCGACAAAAAAAAGAAGCGAACAAGCCGGATATGAGGTAAGCCGAATGAGGCCTACTCGTGCACGCACACGTCGCCTCTTCATTAATTCTTCGTATGGCTTCATCGGCCTACCAGCTATTAGGGCCGGGTGTCGTCCTCAAGAGTCAATACCTCAACGGGAACGAGAATTCTATCGCTAGCTCACATATGAGCTCTGTAAACAATAAATAAATAAAAGAGCATTGGAGTGAAGAGGCATGTGAGCTGTGACCGTGAGAGAGTGGTTTTCTAGAGATATGCGAGACTAGCTAGTCTGCACTCCCACTTGTGTGTTGATCTCTCTTTTTTCATAGCCAATAGAATCTTTTTTAACCTAACGAGGGGACGTACGCTCTTAGAGTAAAGCATCTGCGACAGATTACCTATCTTTCATCCCTTAACAAATGTACATATATAGATGGTACATTATGATTATTATAGTATGTCTCTTTTCTGTTCTCCTCTAATAGACGATCAAAAGCTCATCTCCAATTTTTTTTATGTCTGGGCGGTCTCTCAACGTCCTTTATTAAAAAATACCTCCCCCTCTGCTCATTACCGGCCCACCTCTTCCCCATTCCCATCGACCACCGTCGCCTATAGGTTTCCAAACGTGCCGGCACGGCACTACACGGCACTAGCCCGCCCTAGCATGGCACGTCTAGGCACATCACGCTAGGCACGGCTGATGAACCGTGTTGTGCCGTGTCGTGCCACCGTGCCCGACTCCAGGCCCAGGCACGGCACTATCATTCCTAGAGCGTGCCGTGTCGTGCCGTGCCGACTCCAGGCCCAGCGTGCCCGTGCCGGCCCAGGCACTAAACTGGCAAAACCCCTCAATAAACTCAGCACAGCAATTCAAAGAGATCTAAAATGAGTAAGTTCACAAAAGATCAAAAACAGATCAGAACACAGCACAGCAAAGAACACAAACTTTTGAAACTAAAACTAATTTAAGTAGGAGCTGTGCAATGGCTGCCTCATTAAAAACCTGTTTAGGTAAAACTCACCCTTGTGAGAAACCCTAAACAAGAAAAGAGTACAGCCAGCTCCTAGAGTAATTGTTTATTACATCCATCACCACAAGTCCAAGTCTCAGTTATTACAGAACCATTACATAAATAGGAAGTGAACTATTCGACATCAAGATAAAGACTAGCAAAGGCCTCTTCCAGCTCCTTGTCCTCCACCATGTGCTGCAGTCTTGTCTCAGCATTATCCCAATCCTTGATGCAGGTAAGCGCCTCTACAGTTTCAGGGTTCAGCCTCCGCCGCCGCTCCTTGATGATCCTGCCAGTTAAGCTAAAAGTAGACTCTGAAGAAATGGTTGACACAGCCACTGTCAAAATGTCTTTAGCAAGAACAGAAAGTACTAAATAAGTAAGCTTGTGCTCATGCCACCACTGCATGATGTCAAACTGATCATCCAACTGGCTTACTGTGTCACAGTTGTCGATGTTTTACCACCGATAGCCTATCACGGGGTTACCCGGGACAGTATGTTCGGGCTTCAGCGTATGCAGGACTCGACGGTGAACGCAAGAGACAGTCGATTTATCCTGGTTCGGGCCCTCGATCGTTGATCGAGTAATAGCCCTACGTCCAGCCAGCGTTAGCCCTTACGTTGTATTGATTGTGTCGTAGAAGTTGTGATCTCCCTCTCTAGGAACCCTGCCCTCCTTTATATAGTCAGGAGGTCAGAATCCTAGTTGGTTTACAATGAGAGTTCTTAGTAGGATTATAGGATAATACTACTACTAAGATTACATGGGGAGAATCCTAGTTAGACTAGATCTTCTCTCTTCCTTGTGGGGTATCCTGTGGGTCCCGCACCGACAAGCCCCCGAGCACTTCATGGTTGAGCTCTGGAAGCCTCGTCTTGTTCTTTCAGGCTTTGCCGAGCAGGAATAAGCGTCGTCCGAGTGCTTTTTTGAGCGAAACCGTGTAGCGCTCTATGAGATCTTCGCGTGGAGTGTATCTTTTTTGAAGAAAAAAGTATTCCCCTTTGGGTGTAGCCCCCGAGCCTCTTGCTATTTGGAACAAGGAGCTGGAGGGTCTTGTCTTGAAATCGCTCTGATCCTTCGTTGAAATGTTCCCGAGCATGTGCCCGGGTTCTTTATCAAAAAGAACTCGGATATAGCTCGGTCCAGCTTCTTTTTGTCATGATTCCTTGAAGTAGTTTTGTCTTGAAGAAGTTTTCTTGGTGACGTGCGCTTTTTTGAAGAAAAAAGTGCACTCACTGAGTGTAGCCCCGAGCCTCTTGCTATTTGGAACAAGGAGCTGGAGGGTCTTGAATCTTATGTTGTTTTAAAATTGTTGACTTGAAGAAGTTTTTTGAGTGATGTGCGCTTTTTTGAAGAAAAAGTGCACTCACTGAGTGTAGCCCCCGAGCCTCTTGCTGTTTGGAACAAGGAGCTGGAGGGTCTTGAGTCTAATTTGTTCGAGGAACTGAAATCTTCTCCTGTTGTAGCCTCTGAGCATTTATCTGGGTTCTTTGATTCTAAAAGAACTCGGACGCATTGTTCTTGGCGAATTCTCTGGTAGTCTGTTGTTTGTCAGGTGTAGTTGTTTGGTGGTGGTTGAGTGTAAATGTTGCCTGTTCACGGGTTGTACAGTGTTGGCATATTCTTCCGAATATGCTCGTCTTCGAGTACTGTTCCTTCTCGCCTGAGTCTTCCATTATTGAGTCCTGTCTTTTCACAGTATCCTTTGTAAGGCTTGTTTCATTGGTACTCCTAGTCTACGTGTGCCGCTCCTTCGATCTATAAATACCCTCTCGGGGTGCTTGTTTTCATCCATTGAACATTTTGTTGAAACCTTCGTAGTCATGAATATGATATTTTGTGAAGTAGAGTTGCACCCGGGCGTATCTTGTAGTTCATGTGCGTCTTGTCGTAGCTGGAGGAAGTCTTGTGATAGGGATTAGAGGTAGACTAATCCCGCAGCGGCAT